ACGTGTTTTCACATGACAAACACAGTCGAACTTACAGCTTTACCTGTTAATACTTGCTTTCGACAAGGATAACATCAGAAGCACTCGTCCGAGTTTTCCCAAAATAGCCCCAAAAGGTGGTTTTCTGAGAAATTCACGCTTTTTAAGTTTCATATTCGGAATCAGCGCCATGTGAAGGTCTGGATAACCCAAAAATATGGAGGTCGAGAATCTGCCTGGACGCTGCCTTTAAGTACTGTAAATCTTTATAAGTTGGGAGTTATAGGTGAAACAACACAGTCAAAAGAACCAACACCATCAAAAGAAGCCACACCATCAAGAGAAGTAACACCATCAAGAGAAAAAACACCATCAAAAGAAACAACACCATCAAGAGAAAAAACACCATCAAGAGATGTTGTGAAGTCTGTATAATTGGGGGGGGGGGGAGGGAGGGGGGGAATTGGCAACAGTGTCTAGGTAAGCTTTGATAAATTGTGCGAGGAAATTTTGATGGTTTACAGATTTGAAAACCGCGACTTGTTGTTGTCTATATACGAAGATATCAATCTACATCCTCTCACTCACATTTTTATTTCATTTTTCTGTCGCCTAAGATATATAGGACCTAAGGAGAACAGAAATTGTGGTTGCTTTCCAAAAAGACAAGTTTTGGTGCCGGCATTTAATAGAAGTTTTAATCTATCTTTTCATTAATCTCTGCGTGTGCTTTTTCTCTTTTCAAATTAGTTTCAAGAAATAAGTTGTACTTCGGTGTGTTTTGCTAGATAGGACTTGTAGGACGGTTAAATAGCTGTAAATTTCGATATTTCTTTTGCAACGTCTGCCACTTCAGAGAAAAAGCTCCTCTCAAGTTCGAGGTCCTTGAAAGCTAGGTACCCTCAAATCGTTTTTCCTCTGCTTCCAAGCTTGTTTCGTTGACGTGGTAATAAGATTCTCGATTATGTTAACTTCAATTGTGGTTCTTTCAATCATTTTTTGTATACATAAGAGTTATATATCAAAGAAATGGTTAAGTATTTATACCTTTATTATAAAAATGGCAATTCTTTTGTTGATGTCAGAGCATTGATTAAACCATCAGAACTGTGAAAAACAAGTCATTTGCTTCAATCAACCCAAAAATATTCCGTTCAATCTCGCAAAGTGCTGCAAAAATGTTACCTCATAGCAATTTGATATAATGGAGATCATCCGTAAAAAATGAGAACTTAAATAGAAAATTATCATTGCATATGCAGAACTCATTTTCAAAAGTTAAACTTTTCAAACAACACTAGTGAAGTACGCCACCTAAATTGAGGTTGTGGCCATAGTGCATATCCTTCATTTTTATCGGTTTGTGACACGGCCTTCCTGAATACACGATAAACAACAATAAAATGAACTTTAGGTCTCAAGCGATGAGAAGACGTTGCACGCTGAAAATCATTAGAAAGTCGTCTGATTTAAAGCTGCTATCTAACATAAGTGCCAATGTTGTTGTTAGGCCTCGGACAAACTTCACGCGATTTGATCGTCGCGATTCAATCGCTACAAGACAACTGTTACGAATTAATTGCATGCCGATCAGCTTGCATTTCAGCTGTGCTTTTCCAGCTTGGAATTTGAATGTAAAATGAAAATGAGTGAAATCGCGGCGATTAAATCGCCACGATCAAATCGCGTGAACTCTGTCCGAGGCATTACATTACACACTCTATATGCTACGCTCTGGCATTCAGTCATGTTTTAGATAATCTACCAAGTTCTTGGTTTTTGCAAAACTTCATGAAATCCCAAAGGTGCCAACACATTTCTTACATCTGCTCTATGATCTCATGTCAAATAAGCCATTGAATCCCTTAGGATAAAATAAGGTGAAATCTTGTGCGTGAATGCTAGTGAGTGTTAGCTCAACTTGCTAGAAAGGCCTGGGTTTGTATCGAGATTTTACGCAAATCCGCTCAAGATTGAACACAAGGATGGACTTTCTCCCATCAGCCCTACCAAAAAATTGGCCATTACCTGTTCCTCCCATAGAGATTATATTATAAGACTTTCCGAAAATCAGTGCAGCATTTCAGTGTTTGAGTTCAGAGTGTCATAATTACGTCAAGCAATGTATCAAAGGGCAAGCTTGAACAGCTTGTGATCAAAAAAGTTTTGCCTAACCAATGCTTACTCATTTGCTTCAGTAACTTCAAAAGGCGAATAGTGTGAACCGGAAACAAAAAAAAAATTCTCAAAGCAACGTTTTCCTGGGCAAATTGTTAATGTTCTAAGAAAAGAGCGAAAAATTTTAGCCATAAGCCAGTAGTAACGAGTACCTAGGCAAGAACTATTCAACATTCCTTTGTGAAACAAAGAAATTGCGTGATCAAACCCCATTATTCGATTTTTCTTTTCGAGGGGCCGTAGCCGGGTGTTCCGAATTTTTTATTTATTTTCTTTTGTTTTCTCTCTAACAGCTACGTTTTAGCGCAGTCTTTTTGCCGCGCATAGATGAATCATGATATTTTAAAATTTTAAACTGTGTCTTGCCAGCCAGTTTTAGTAAATTTCAAAAATTTTATTTTATACCTTAGAAAAGAGCTGTAAAATATTCTATAGCAGAGCTGCTAGTATCCCGTTCTTTGCACTTATCCAGTCAGGGTTTCCAAGTTTATACAAAATAATTTTGGAAAGGACCTCATTTCTTATCCGGTAAAATTGTAGAGCGTCGACAGTTAAGCAATTCAGATATTATTCAATGCGTCATTTCCTCCTTTTTTATAACTATTTTTCTTGGCTATTCAGACACTCAAAGATTATGCCGTATATCTGAATTTTACAAGTGCATACGGTCGATACCGGAAGCATCAGAACCCTGTATTTTAGAGCGGAAATCGTTGATTGACTTTCTAAAATGAAATTTAGTTATAACTAGGTTTTAAAATTCAAATTTTCGAGGTCTACCAGGTATTTAAATAAAATTACGACTTCTTCCGAAGCCATACTTAAAAAACTGTACTGAGGATTTGAAAGCCAGTTGGGAAGATGAAAAAGCCTACAGTGCAGAAGCTTCAATCTAAGTGTAATCAAGACACCTTTAGGAGTGTGAGTAAGCATGGCTATAAAAACAATGGGTTGAAATCATTTTGGATTACTTGAGCACATGCTCGAGGATCATAGATGTTGTTGCTAGAAAGAGAGAGAGGTTTTACATCGGATAGTAGATAAACTATTAGCTTTACTTTATCTCAACTAATTTGTGAATTGGTTCAAATTCGGCGCGAAGCTTCGGACCGGCCTAAAGTTTTATAGAAAAAATGTGGAAGTTGGAATAAGTTCAGTTCTTGGACCATGCTCCACAAAACCTCTACAAATTTACCTATTTGATTTTTACCAAAAGTCTCAATTAGTGCACCTCTCACGGAGCACGTTTCTTGCAGTAGCTTTAAGATGAAGTCCGTTTGCTGCTGAAGCCCGTATGCTTGTGAGAAAACACAATGTTGTACGAGTAGCGTACTAAAACGTTTTTGACAAGCAGAAATAATTCTATAGAACCTTGAGATAAAAATTTTGCAAGCACAAATGTGACGCGCCCATACTTCTCAGCTACTTCGTATATTCGCAGTTTTTGATACTCAAATTTACATCTTTGGAAAATATTGATGGCTATATTGATGGCTTAATATGTTGCACAAAATAACTTTTTGTATGCAACAAAGTAATCGGTCTGAATATTGTGCTCAAAATATGTGATACATAATTAGGTGGTACCTTGTCGTTGATACACGGCTGTAATTTGCTGCACCAATTGTGCTTACATTTTATTTACGTCTAAAATATAAGCTCTGAATCTCGAGGTTCTTTGATATTTTATGTATTCTCGCTGTTGTCATTGAGACTTAATCTCAAAAATTGTTTCACTAGATTCAATAAATACTGCACCGCACACACAAAATGCCTCGAATTCATTGCTCTACTTGATGTCGGTATGGCCTTCGATCATATCTTGGAGACCACCATAACACTGCAAATACAGATATTCGCGGTGGATAATGAGCGCGCACCTCCTTTAGACTTATTTTTGTAAACTTTTGGAGACACATTTAGCTAGTAAATATTGTGCAATGCTGATAACCACATGGATGTTGACAGGAAAACATGGCAGAAAAAAGTCAGATAGGATGCAATTTAAGCTTTATAAGTGAAATTTATGTGCGTTCTTTTTTCATCTTATCTTCATTCATTCTCAAAAGTTCATAACAGTGAAAAGCAGCAATAATCATATGAGAATTCAGAAAAACCTATGCGAATCCCCTCTTGATCTTGTCAAATCATTTGGTCTCTGCAATTATATCCAAGAAACATCCAGTGAGCCGGAAATGGCCTAGCAACTTTTCTTTTCTCTTTTCTTAATCGATTAAGTAGATCATCTACTTATCTACATAGATAAGCTAGAAGTCGAGCACTCAAGAGGAGTGAGGAAAGAAGTGTGTCTAGGCTTTCACACTGAACTACAACTGAGTTTTTGGTGTTAAGTATGGAACTCAACCCGAAAGACCTCTATTACCTTTATACTAAGTTTGAACTCAGCAATTTTATAGAAGAAGAGCTAAACTTCCTCAGCACCATACTACGAGAGGAAGCTCTATTTTGTTAGAACACTGTACGTTGCCGAAGTAAATCATCACAGTTTATCCCAGAAGAATTTTGATGACGCTGACTCATTGAAATGGGTATATAAGTCTGTCTGGCACTGTTCATTGTATTATATAACTCTGAAACACCGCGAAAGGAAGCCCTATTTTTGCACATTGGAAAACTTAGACTTAGATTATTGATTTTTGAGCTGTGAAATAGCGAATCTCCATATAAAGGGAATAAATAGAATGTATTTGTTTCTTTGTTGGAAGAATAGATAATTTAAGACTGTATAAAGGTTTGAACACAGGGTTCCAATCTTCTTGCAATGTACGCATGATGTTCTCGCGCTCCTCACTCTGAATCCATATATAAGCAAGAAGAAATGGTTAGGTAATTTTTGGGAACTTCTTACTGAAAAGGCAGAGTATAGTCAATCCTTTTTTGTTCGCTTCAATAAGTTTGTCTTCCAAATTGCAGCCATACTGTTTTGGTTGGCATTGCTGCAAACACAATGATAAATAAAGAAGTAGCGCAGTAGGGCAGAAAAGTACCATCAATTTCCAGATCATTTCTGAGTTTGAGGTCAATTGTAACAGATTCTGAACTTCACTTCCGTCCTCAGCCGTGAAGACGCTGAAGTAGTAATAAACGAGTGATGGACTTGCTCCCCTACTGAACCCTTACCCGCTCAATAGTGGATGACATTCCGGAACCTTCGTTTCAAGGTTATTCTCCAGGTCATAAAGAGCGAGGTCTTGCAGTTGGCATTCATGCTTCTAAATGTGAGATTGTATGGCATGACAACTTCACTACTGGCACTTATCTGAAGGTAATATAAAACTTACTGTCTCATACATACTGAGGCCGGTGAGATACGTGCATACAAGTTCCTGTAATTTAAGAAGTGGAGAAGTTGAAGGGCTACCACAATAGTCCGTTTCATCTGCAAAAAAAAACATTTTTCAATGATAGCAGAAGATCTCTTTGTACTGCATTTTGGTTCTCCAGTCGTAAATGTAGATACCTGATCGAGTAACTGTGAGTCCCATCCAACAAAAAACAACCCTGCAGCCGTAGAGACCTTAAAAGTATGTTTGTAACTATGCAAAAGAATCAAGGGCTCACCACTAATACTGAAAATATTGCTAAAAACATAACCAACGAGATAGCAGACGCTGTAACTTTAGGAGACCTTTATGTACTCAGGACCTGAAAAAGCTTTACTGATTACGGAAGATTCAACTCAATAATTAGTTATTGTAATAGTCTGTTAATTGCACGAAAGCCACAACTGAAATCAAAGTAGTACGTCAACGAAAAGCTTGCAAAGATGTACTTTAGTTTATCTACGAGTTTGCAAATGAAAGGAACTGAAAGTTAGACCAAAATATCCGAGCATGAATGGAGCGGGTCTTTGCTGCATTCACAGCAGATTGCAAAGGTTAGCACTAAGGAATGTTCAGTGCTGTCAAATTTCAACCAGAGGCTATCTAGATCTAAATTTCTTCTTAAGCTGGTTCTTTTCCACATTTCCAGTTCGAATCTCTGAATGGTTTTTCTTTGCACAACTTCTTGTAATACTGGCTTCCCTATTTACAGTGACCGCCAAAAGATGCGGACAACCCGCCTTTTTTCATCGCTCATTTTTAGATGGAAAACAAAGATAAAAAAATGATTGGATTACATATGGTGATAGAGCTCATCAAGAGCTACAATACACACATTGCGCTCTCTGGAATATATCACAGAAATTTTCAAAATCTTTTAAAACAAGTCCGAAAATGGCCGCGCTATAATGTCGCGGACAATAACTCTTTGAACGCGAAAATTTTCTTTGAGATCTTTTTTTTGGAGCAAAAACAGAAGTTTTCCGAACACTTAAGCTACTGTATTGTTGAGCTCATCGAGGACAATAATCGGGTAGTGGTTACTTTTCAAAAACTTGGTGTTCGAACTCACTCCTAGAATGACTGCCGACCGAGCTCAAACCCAAGTGGTGCAAGTCAGTGGTGAGGTGCAGATGGGTCATGTGCATGCACTGTCAAAAGCCTCAGCAAAAAAACTCACCACACACATCCGATGCATAGAAGATGGCAAAGAGCATTTGTTTTATGCGAATAGCTTTGTTGGTTTTGAATAGGTTTCCATTTAAAGAAATTTGGCTTGAAGAAGGGAATTAGAAATCCTTTTTTGAAAAAAAGCAAAAGAAAATTTGAACTTGGGTTTTTTGAAGGTAACCACTACCCGATTATTATTCCCGATTAGCTCTACAATAAAGTAAGCTTAAGTTTCCGGCAAACTTCTGTTTTTGCTCCAAAAACCTCAAAGAAAATTTTGGCGTTCGAAGAGTTATTGTCCGCGACATTATGATGCGACCATTTTCGGACTTTTTTAGGAAAAGATTTTATTTCTGTGATACATATTTTCCAGAGAGCGCAATGTGTGTATTCTAGCTCTTGATGAGCTCTATTACCATATGTAATCCAATCTTTTTTCAGTTTGTTTTCTACCTAAAAATGAGCGATGAAGAAAGGAGGGCGACTTGTCCGCAACTTTTTGGTGGTCACTGTACGTCAAGCAGGTTAGCAGTTTTTACACTAAGTTTTTCGGAGACTACTATGCCATAGGTTATTTTTCGCCTTACTTACCACTCATTGTCATTACAACCATTCCAAGCAAGCACTTTCGAGTCTCAAAGTTTTTGAAATATTTCAGTAGCAGTTTTCAGTTTTAGCTTGTAAGCTTTTAGCTTGTTAGTTCTATTGATATGAATCTCCGAAAAGAATAGATTTCGATAAATAGAAGGTCAACAGTCAGGAAATCCAGAAAATATTTTCCATAATCTTTGCATCAGCAAAGTATACAGAGTTTGGTGTTGCTGATATTTGGCAGGTATCACTACAGAAAATAATCTAATACTCTTTTGTCTGGCACAACTAGAAGATTCGTGGTGAATTTCATGCCGTCATTCCGCACTATAACCCTAAGGGTGACTTATATGTCTGACTTTCGGCTCTGTCATTTTCAACAATGGTATTCTGTGGTTTTGCGAATACCTGGAGACACCTAAGCGGAGATTCAGCGTCGTGCGAACCGAGATATTGCACATGTGGGAAAGTTATCGTGAATTTGGATCGCTAAAGCTGACTTAAAAAAGAATTACAGCTTTAAGTAGATACTTGGTCAAAATCAGGTGTGATTACCTGACTCGAAACTTTGAATTCCAATAAAAAATGATGGTCCTTTCATTTTATCAGCCAACGTAAATCTAATTTCAGTTTTATGGACCGCTAATTTGGCAAATTTCTGCTCGTATCTACTTCTGTAATTGGCTATCAGTGTTTTCTTCACAGATATTTACTCAAGGTCGTCTTGCCTAACTTTGCAGTCCAGATCATGCATTCGGCGCCCTCGGCGACGGCTACACCGTTCCGAGCAAATAATGATTTATTAGGTTGTCAAGAAAATAATGTCGTTTTTTGTTTGTTTGCTATGGCACGGCGACCATTTGAACCCGAAAAATGCATGCGGGTACCATTCGATAGAGCAAGGCAAGCTCTACAAGAATTTACCCAAATATTTGCTCCAAATTTGTTCCACATAAAGTTTGGAAATCTGATGAACGCATGAAAAAAAAACGTATCTCTGTCCCACGGCTGAAACCTGAGAAACGTACGTATACCAAAATAGGCCAAAAGCGTCTAAAATAAACATTTTCCATTTTTCTGCTACATTCATATTACTTGAGAACCATCGCCTGCAAAAGGCCAAAAACTCAATGGTTTTACTTCCAAAGTTCCATACAGAATTACCTATGTGGGAGCAGCCCAGCGCGACTTTGGTAAGAAAGAAATTATTCTCTTCTTCGTTTCTAGCCATAGAAAAAAACCAGGAAGTACACAGGTAAATGCCAGATGTGGAAAGTATGTGCCTGAGGAAGTAAGAAATTCGTAGGGCTTCTCTGGACGAAGAAACCATTTCGATTTTTTCATGTCAGATCCTTTCAGATTTTGGCTCCAAACTTAATGTGGAACAAATTTGGAGCAAATAATTGAGTACCCTCTTGTAGAGCTTGCTTTGCTCTATCTACTTATTCAACAGTTCGCTTGTGCATTTCTGGGGTTCGCCTTAGCATGCAAACAAAAAAAACAACATTATTTTCTTGGCAACTTAATATTTGCTTCGACCTATTTACAGCGACCCGTAGGATTGCTAATTGTAGATATCTTATTGTAATCAGCATGTCCGTAAGCCCCTATACCCACACCGTCCACCCAAGTTGAGGGTGATGAGATTTTTAAGTTATACATTACCGCTCGCACAGAACGTGCAAAATTTCCGTGAATGTCGCGGAATTCCGGGATTTCCGCAGAAGTTCCGATGTTCCAGGAACACCCTTGCTCAAACTACGAATGCCTTTTTTTTGGTGATGTTGACGTAGTTTTCGATTACTATTGCTTTTCTGCTTTCCTCTCCGAACTTTATACGACCACTTTGCAACTTTGCAAATGATCGTATGCCAGAGAGCTCCAATTTTCTCATGTTCTCACACGCTTGGGGAATTATTATAGCTCCAGTTGCCTGAAAGACTCGGAAAACCAACATTACTGTCTTTCCCACCCTCAATTGCACAGCTCTGAAGCTGAGAGAGAGAGAGAGAGAGAGAAGGCTTTAGCAGCAGAGAAAAGCAAGTTAACAAACGCTTTTGTCTGAATTATTGAACTTTTTTTCTGAAATCATCCGTCAGCGTTGGATGTTTGATAAACATGTTTAGAAATGGCAGTGAATATGAACTAGAAGTGCATCACTTACTATAAGGCAACAAAACAGAATTTCATTGATGCCGAAGGATGCATGTTCGAATCTGTGTACTTAGACATGAATAGTGGAAGCTGGATACGCTGCTGAAGACTAAGTCATATATCCTACTAGCTGGCTTACCGGCTCTGCCGTATGGTCCAAATAGAAAATTCCATTTCTTAACCGATCCGGACCAAACTTGGCACACATACACTTTGGGCCCCGGCGGGTGTCACAGTCCATTTTCGCTATCGACCGATGTCGATTTTGTCGATTTTTTGCAAAATTTGAGCTAGGGGGCTGGAATTTGGCAGGGGGTGTAATCGAGCATGCTGATCACCCCCCTGTGCCAACTCCCAGCCCCGTAGCTCAAATTTTGCAAAAAATCGATAAAATCGATGACGAAAAGTAGCCTATGACACCCGCCGGGGCCCATAGTGTATGTGTGCCAAGTTTGGTCCGGATCGGTTCAGAAATGGAATTTTCTATTCGGAACATACGTACAGACAGACAGTCAGACATACAGACAGACAGACAAACAGACATTCAGCTTTATATATAAGATCTACTAGAAATGGAATGTGTTCCTCCCATTTGTGTTCCGGAGTATTTTGTAGATAAAATAGATCGAAGCTTTTTTGTTTCGAGAAGGCGCGAGACTTGAGCGAGGCGGTGTACAACTAAAGGTACCATTTGGATGTGTACCTTCACTTCACTTATTTTATTAACAAGCTATCAAGTTGAGATCGAGCTGATGACTAATGCACATCCTCCTCTCACAAGGGAAGTACCCCGAGTGGCCGTGGCCTTTTAATATGAGATGCATATCGTCTGAAGCAGCTTCAAACGCTGATTTCAAATCTGCTTTCCGTTTCTGCGGAACGTTCTTCTGAAGAGAGTTATGGAAGCCTGAAAATCCTATTTTGGAGGCGCTCCTTGAGTTTAAGAGCGCTGCTATGTGCGTTGGTGGTGCAGTGGTGTAATGGTTAGTTGTTGGCATTGAAGGCGAAAGGTCACTGGTTCGAACCCGGTGCAGAGCGAACCGTTTTGCATTATGAATGCGAGTTTAAAAAGCACTCTAAATCGTTTGCAGACACTTACTGTAATGCCTTAGCACAAACAAAAGAGAACATCTTTTCGACTAATGACAGTGTGCATTTTTTGAGCTTTATGTGGTGACAAACGTGCTAAGCCATGTTTGGTCCTGTTTTACTAGTAAGGAAGTCAAGTAGAATTTCAGACTCTCATT